TCAACTCGTTAATCATCTTGTTGGTTTGTAAGTAAACTTATGAATTTTCTTCACCTACTACTTGTCGCGCTTTTTTCCTCTCTCACACTTGGCATCCCCGAGCGTGTCTGGGTTGGTGTCACTACTCAGTGCCCCACTCGACACGTAACTGAGGCCATTTTCCAAACACCATCCTTGAATTATGGCCCACATCTATTATTTAGCATTTGAAGTATTTTAGGGATTTTTCAGCAAGTGTCTGTGTTGTGGCTCTGTGAATTTTAATTGCCACCCTTATTCAGGAGTGGGCAACCTGCAGCACAGGTGCCACATGTGGCACAGGCAGCCTGCATGCATGGCATGCAGCAGTCTGGGAGGGGGACAGCCAACAGGGCAGGGAGCAGAAAACAGAGTAGCAGTTGGGCTCAGAGCAGGGAGAACAGAACAGGAAGCAGAGCAACTAATTGGGCGGGGGAAGGGGATCAGAGTGTGTGTTAATTTGAAGCAATACTCAGTTAATCCATCATCATATATTCCATTCAGTAGAAGGCAGGTGGGGGCTGTGGTCTTTCCCAATATATGGCAGGACACTTTACCGCTAGAATAGTTTAGGGCAGCGGGCCCAACCTTTTTGTTAGGCATGCCGCAAATTAGGTCAGATTAGGATGGCATTATGGGGCAAAATACTTCTTGGGCCACCCCAAATCTCATGGCAATGCCACTGGAGGACTGTCCCTAAGAACCCTTATATAACCCTAACCACAGTCCCCCCCAGTCCAAAGGACAGTTTGGCTGTGCCAGGCTGCCAACTAACAGCCCCCATGTCCACTGTACTAAGTATAATGGTTTGAATAAGGAACTGGCTTTCAGGCTGGGATTATGGCTAGAAATTCTGCTTGGGCCACTCCACAGCATACCTCTGCACCATTGGGGGACTCTACTGGACGCATCTCACCAAAGACTTGCCCAGCCCAAAGCACAGTTTCGCCGTGCCAGGCTGCTATTGACACCATCCTTGCCACTGTGTTAAGTATATGGACCCAAATAAGGAACTGGAATTTGGGCTGGGATTATAGCTAGAAATCCTTCTTGGGTCACCCCATGCCATGGCGCCTCTGTGCCACCAGGGGACACTCCTGGACATCTCTGACCAGAGATCTGTCCAGTCCAAAGTGCAGTTTGGCCATGCCAGGCTGCCAACAGACAGCACATCAGCCACTGTGCTAAATATATGGACCCAAATAAGGAACTGGATTTTGTGCTGGGATTATACCCAGAAATCCTTCATGGGCCACCCAAGAACACATCTCTGTGGCACCAGGGGACTCCTGGACATCTCTGACCAGAGACTTGCCTGGCTCAAAACGTGGTTTAGCCATGCCAGGTTGCCAACTGACACCACCCCCAGACACTGTGCTAAATATCTGGAACCAAATAAGGACCTGGATTTTGGGCTGGGATTATACCCAGAAATCCTTTTCAGGCCACCCCACGCCATACCTCTGTGGCACAGGGAGTCTCTGCTGGACATCTCTGATCAGAGACCTGCCCAGCCCAAGGTGCAGTTTGGCCATGCCAGGCTGCCAACAGACAGAACCCAAGCCACTGTGCCAAGTATCTGGACCCGAATAAGGAACCTGATAATGGGCTGGGATTATACTCAGAAATCCTTCTTGGGCCACCCCACGCTATGCCTTTGTGCCATTGGGAGACTCTCCTGGACTTCTCTGACCACAGACTTGCCCAGCCCCAAGCACAGTTTCTTCATGACATGCTGCTAACTGCAGGCCCTTATGCCCACTGCTCTAAGTATAATGGCTCAAATAAGGAATTTCTTTTGGCCTGGGATTAGTGAGAGAAATTCTTCTTGGGCCACCCTACGCCATGCCTCTGTGGCACTGGGGGACTCTTCTGGACACCCTTAAACATATTTTTGTCTGGTCCAAAGAATGCTTTGGCCATGCCAGGCACCAATTTACTCACCATCCACATGTGTTATTTACATTGCTACCAATAAGGAGCTGCCCTTCTGCTGGGTTCATGGGGCAAGACCCTCATGGAATCATCCTAGAACATGTCTCCACTATCAAGGAGACTCCTGAAGAAATCTGGGCATGTCCCTGCTCAACGCAATGCTAGCTTTTTGAGTGTAAGCCTGCCAGCTGATACCCAACCTTTAAAACCTTTATGTCACTGTTCCACCAGGCACTGGATGGCAGGACGAATGGCTGCATGCATATATAGGGCACCAGTGACAGACATCTGCTCTGACATGTGGTATTTAGCATGTGTCAGAGCAGACTCGATTAATTGAGTTTGCTGCCAGTCTGCTGACGTGTGCTAATTAGCACACTCCAGCAGTCTCTGCGCCACATGTATTCACTGTGCCAGTGTTTCAAAAAGGCAGCAGCAGCAGCACTTTAACTAAAGATCTTCAAACCAGCTTTGTTAAAGCACCCCCACCATGGTTTTGAAGCGTGGGATGCTGAATACATGTGACACTGTGGGTGCTCTAATTAGAGTGGCTCTCATAGCCATTCTATTTAAAGCACTCTTCTTCCCACCCCAGAGCATGTGTATAGAGGCCCGTAGGGATTTTTCAACAGCATTTCACATTTACATCCAACTGTCACCCAGAAACTTAGTAAAATAACTTAAAGCTGGGTGTTGTAATTTAAAGGAACCTGCTCACTCACTAGCAAATGTTAAATTAAAACAAGTTTATTGCAGGGGAAACGGGGAACTGTGGTACTCCCTAAGCAAAACCTTAACTATTAACTTTTAACTGTAGCTCAGAATGAATCACAGTCAGAGGCAAACCAACCTGGGGAGCTCCCTCCTAGCCAAGTCACTTGGGAAGGGAGTCTCACCCACGGCTGCCATCCAGGGACTCTACCACTTGCAGTCCAAAAGGAATTCCTTATTTGAGCCAGTATACTTAGTACAGTGAGCATGGCATGAAGAAACTACACTCTGGCTCAGGCAAGACTCTGGTCAGGAGTGTCCAGAAGAGTCCCCCCAGTACCACAGAGGCATGGTGTGGGGTGGCCCAAAAAGGATGTGCAATGATAATCTCAGGCCAAAACCCAGTTCCTTATTCAAGCCAATATACTTAGTACTAGCAAATTGCCCATCAAGAATGATGGGGGATGGGAGGGAGGGTGTGCCCCCTCTTCCCCCACCCCACTCTACCCACACCTCCCTCCCGCCGCTTCAGGTCTGACCCCAAGCCACCCCCATGCCCCGGCTTCAGGTCTGCCTGGCCCACATCTGCCTGCCTCCCTTCCCTTCCCTCCCTCGCATCTCCCTGTCCCTGCCGGATGTCTGGGGGGCATCCAGGATGGGCAGCCACCATAATACCCCACTGGCCCTCGGGCAAGGAGACAGGAGGCAGCCCGGCTACTCGGATGTCTGGGGCACATTCCCCACCGCCAAAATTCCCCAGCAACGGTGCAAACTTGGGCCCACGCAGCATGCCCAGCCAATCGCTGCCCGCCCTCTCGGGGGCATGTGCGCAGCTGGCTGGAAGCGTTTGGACAGACATTCAGACAGACAGACAGACTAAGCCTTTTATTACGTTAATGGATATGGGGGCTGCAGTTAGCAGCATAGCATGAAGAAACCACGCTCTGGGCTGGGCATGACTCTGGTCAGGGACATCCGGGGGAGTCCACCGGTGCCACAGAGTCATAGTGTGGGGTGGCCAGGAAGGATTTCCATTTCTAATCCCAACTCAGAAAGAGTTCCCTATTCAAACCATTGTCCTTAGTACAGTCACTGGTGGGGAGGTGGGGGGTGTGCTCTGAGTTAACAGTGTCACAGGCCTAAAATGTGCTTTGGGCCAGACAATACTCTGGTCGGGGATACCTGGGAGAATCGCCCAGTGCCACAGAGTCAGAATGGAGTGGTCCAACAAGGACTTTCATCTCTAATCCCAGCCCCAAAAACAGTTCCTTATTCAAGCCATTATACTTAGAACAGTGGCTGGGGGGCTGTCAGATAGCAGCCTGGCACGGCCAAACCCTGTTTTGGGCCGGGCAAGTCTCTATTCAGAGATGTCCAGGACAGTCCCCCGGTGCCACAGAAGCATGGCGTGAGGTGGCCCAAGAAGGATTTGTGGCTATAATCCCAGCCCAAAATCCAGTTCCTTATTCAGGTCCATGTATTTAGCACAGTGGCTGGAGTGCTGTCATTTGGCAGCCTGGCACAGCCAAACCGTGCTTTGGGCTGGGCAAGTCTCTGGTCTCTCTCTGATATCCAGGAGTGTCCCCCAGTGGCACACATATGTGGTCTGGGGTGGCCCAAGAAGGATTTCTAGCTATAATCAGAGCCCAAATTCCAGTTCCTTATTCAAATCAAGATACTTTGCACAGTGTCTAGGGAGTGGTGTCAGTTGGCAGCCTGGTATGGCCAAACCATGCTTTGGGCCGGGCAAGTCTGTGGTCAGAGATGTCCAGGAGGGTCCCCCAGTGGCACACATATGTGGTCTGGGGTGGCCCAAGAAGGATTTCTAGCTATAATCAGAGCCCAAATTCCAGTTCCTTATTCAGGTCCAGATACTTAGCACAGTGGCTCGGGCTCTGTCTGTTGCCTGGCACGGCCAAACCGCACTTTGGGCTGGGCAAGTCTCTGGTCAGAGATGTCCAGGAGGGTCCCCCAGTGGCACAGAGGTGTGGTTTGGGGTGGCCCAAGGATTTCTGGATATAAACCCAACCCAAAATCCAGTTCCTTATTCAGCTCCAGGTACTTAGCACAGTGGCTGGGTGTTGTCAGCCTGGCATGGCCAAACCGCACTTTGGGCCACAAAATTTGGGGTGGTCTAAGAAGTATTTTGCCCCATAATCCCATCCTAATCTGACCTTCATTTAGGGCTCTGTACTTGATGTGGGCTATTATTTTACATATTAATTAGCACATATGCATGGCTAATGAAATTCTGTCTCTTTAGAATGTGTAATTCATTAATACCAAATTTTTATTGAGTATAGATGAGTTTTGAAAAAGGAACCAGGAAAAAGGAACCAACTTCTGCCTCATCAACCTCTCAGCCCATAAAGCTGGGGCCACCTCTCCGTGGAGAGCTTTTCCAACACACTGGAGTACATACCTATTTACACAGTTTATTATTTACAAAACAGTCAACATATGAATGAGGTTAAAAGCAGAACAGGGTATCAATAATCAAATTGTCAAAGGCAGGTATCAAAACACTGTACAAATTGAATCAAAGACATCCTCAGTACAACGCCCCAGCTTAAACCTTGAGACTCTGGGGAATTTCAGCTGGAGCACACAGGGTTAACAAGACATCAGCTCTCCTTCACACTGGCAGCACAATAACCATGGCTGGTGCTGCTGCTTCAGAAAGTCCTGCTGTCTGCTAGAGCCTGCCTGGGGAAGAGAAGCTCTCTGTTGCTCCAGCTGTCTGTGGTATCTGCAAAGAAACACACACTGTCCCCTCTGCCCAAAAACACCTTTCTCCAATTCCCAGACATGGCCGTTTGTGCTAATAACTGAACCAACCCTGGGTTTATTACCCACCTGCTACACGGTGGTTCCTCCCCGAGCTCCATGCTCCCAGGTCCCTTCCCTTCAGGCAGAGTTCCCGCCCCTCTCCTGCCTTAGGAGCCAATCAAAAACATGCACATGTCCTTGCAAGCAACAACTTTCTGTAAACTTTCCTGCTCTGCCTTTGCAAGGATCCTGAGCCCTGCTGCAAATCCAACAGCAGCTGTTACACATATAAATAAATGTGCAACTATTTCTCAGAATTCACTCCCCAAAATCTTTGTAGCTGTGATGCAAACATTGTAAGTTGGCCAGCAGTCAGAAATGGATAACACTGTTAGTAATCAAAGCATTCCTGTAAACCACATTGGTTCCTCAAAATTGAATTATTCTAAAATTTGACAATTACTACTTGGCCACATTAATTAAAAATGTAATTGAATTGACTACCTTTCAACTGAAACAGTAGTCATAAAAATGGTCAATATTTTGGCCAGTGGGGCTGCCTTAGAACTCAGGTTAGCTGTCACAAAACAGCAATTTATCACAAGAATCTAGTTGAAAGGCACAGTAATCACACACAAATCTTCAGCTCTCTCTATCAGTTGTACAGATCAGTTTGGTTGCCAAATTTCCATCTGGTAACCTTGGTTTACCACAACAATTTAAATCACCAGTGGTTACTTAATTAGCTGATAAGAGAGATAACAGTTTTCATGGCAATATGCTAGTATAATAAAAAAGGAAGACCAGAAGTTAGATTGCATTACATAATGAATCTTAAGCAATGCAGATTTTTATACCGCAGACTTTATATATACCTGAGTACAAATTACAGTCTATACTGTCCCCATCCTGTGAGGTGCTGAACATAGTGCTGCCAATCACCAATTTGCAGAAGTTTAGGGCTTTGTAGTATTAGGCCCCCAAACTAACAACAACAATTATTTTCAATGGGAGACACTCTCAAAAGAATCTTTGAGCACAGAGTGAATCAAACTCAAATAATCTGACAAAATGAACAGGTATCTGGCCTAACAATATACTCCTGTTCGAGCAGCAGCTGCTCATTTTCTCAATGAAAGGCTGCCAATTTCACCTTTCTTATCTTGTACAAAGTATATTCCTGTCCTGCAAAGTGTTAGTCTAGCCCTCAAGAGCCTTATCTCAAGTTGTTACCCAAGACCCCTGCCAACAGTATATACACAAAATCTTCCAGAATCTAGACCAGGCTTGTCCAACATACAGCCCGCAGGCCGCCAAGCTATTTTCTGTGGCCCGCAGTGCTAGTTACTTTTGTTCCCACCCCTTGTCCCTCCCCCAGCCCCTCAGCAGCTTCCTAATAGCTGCTGAAGGGCTGGGGAAGGGACAAGGTTCCCACACACACCACGTCAGCTTGACGTTGCTAACGCGGTGTGGCTCCTCCCCTCCCCCCTCATTTCACGGTGTCCCTTCCTCGCCCCACCCCTCCCTTCCTCATTTGCATGCCAGCTCCTCCCCTCTCCCACATTGCAGGGTTTCCCTTCCTCGCCCCGCCCCTCCCTTCCTCATTTGCATGCTGGCCCTGCCCTGAGCTGGTCTCCGTCGGTTGCATGGGCTGGAGCAGGTCGCAGTGCAGCGGTGGACTTTCTTTATGTGAAGCCCCCAGAGGGTTGAGGTGTCTGTCTGCCAGGGGCTGAGATGCTTGGTGTTTAAGTTACAGTGGTGGGTTAGCCTTGAGCCCTGAGGTGGCATGCTGAAGGCCTATTTAGATTGGAGTGGGGCCCAGTAAGGAGTTCAGTAGCCTAGGAAAGACTGAGACCTGGACCAGATGGTCCATGAGCTGTGAGTGGGCTAGGCCAGACTAGAGGGTCCGAGAGCCCGATGAGGGGCTGCTTGTAGGGCAAGGGGCCCGACAGCTCAGAGGGAAACTACATAGGTGGCCAGGGGGCTATGTATATAAATAGTTAACATCGAAGAGCGAGAACACCCACAAGGCTTGGGGCATGGTGTAGGAGGGGAAACGGAGCCAGGCCTTGAGCCCTTAGCCCTTGAGCTACAGATGCCCTGCATGGCATAGATATGTACATAGCCTTTAAAGCTACAGGGGCCTGGCAGGGGCAGAGGTCAGCTGAGGGGGGCTATTGGGCTTAAAGGTTGAGTCCAGGGGACTGAGGGTCCAGGAAGGACTCAGGGATACAAGTGGACTAAACCTCACTCTGAGGCCAGTGGGCAGCCTCCTTTATTCTTATATCATCAAGGGTTTAGTCCATCTGTCTGTCTGTCCATAATGCTCTTGTGATGTAATCTTTTTATGTAATCTTTTTTATGGTATGTCTAGCTTTTGCAAACTATATCTAACTGAATACTTAAGGCAACTTACTGATGCTGGGAGGGGTGTGGCATGTGTGTGTTAAGAGATGCTTGCAGAGCACAGCGTGTGGGATGCGGAAGATTTCTGGAATGCCTCCCTAACACCAGCAGGATAATGTCTCCCTGACACTTGTAAGATAGCAAGAAGTTCAGAAAAAGGTCTCATTATAATGCTAAAAATCACACCCCTGGGCAGGGAAAAAGTATGTTAATGAAACATATATGTATGTAAATGAATTACATGGCTAAAACATAGGTATAGAGACATGCTCAGTAGAGAACGTCTTATGTCAGTGGCTTGTAACCAATCACTGAGCGATACACTTGCAAACATATGTATAAAAGGTACCCAAAGGTAGAAACCGGTGGTGCTTGCTTTGCAAACGATTGCCAAGCACCCCTCTCTGCGCAGACTGGAAACAATAAAGATTAAGTTGGATCCTCCACCCCTGTGTGTTCATTGGCAATAGTGCACCGGGCACGAACTCACACTGTCCGTTGGGGACAACACTTGGAGCGCTCTGATTGGTGCTGTGCCACCTCTGGGGAGCAGGGCTGGGAGGGGGAGGGGGAGGCCAGCGGTACTGGTGGTGGTGGTAGCACAGGGTGCTGATGGAGGGGACAGCAGGGCAAGCTTCCTCCCCCCCACTGCTCCTGGGAGGCGACAGCGGTGTGGGGTGATGGGTGGCAGTACTCCATCTCTGCCTGCTCCCCGCCATTATTCTGGACAGGCAATTGACTAGTTTAACCAATAATAAGAACAAAGCATGGCAGACGAGCAATCAAAGGGAGGGCCATAATAGAGACTGAACTGGGCAGGGGTCACAGGGCTACCAGAGCTGCCCTGGTGGCTCGAACCTGCTACAAAGACATAAGCTGGCTCATGGCACATCGTGCATTGCCAGTCTGGCAACTCAGTGTGGAGGTTTGCCAAGTGTCCAAGAACAGTAGGTTGAGAAAAGGAGACATGGCACCACCTACTCTGGGACTCTGCTTTTGCTAAAGTGGTGCGGGGAAAGAAGAACATCTCTTGCAGGTGGTGACAGGAGAAGCATCAATTGTAGAGGGATTACTCCAGGAGTGCACCCCAAACAGGGATGTGAGAGATTGGAGGGGACAACTGATTATTTTGAGTTTTAAGGTAATGCTCTGGAAAGTACAGAACCATCTTGTCTTCAGGCATTTGGAGGTTTTAGTACAAGACTTTCTGTGTGTAGGCCTGAGTAACCTCCATGTCGACTGTACTTCCTGAGAGAGCAGCAGAAGGCTGTGGGTGGGAAGAGGAGGCAAAGAGATGCTGGCATCAGCCTAGAAGCTGATGTTTACCTGAAGCACTAAGGGGACTTTGGGGATTAGGCAGATCTTGAATGGATCTCTTCTTTCCTAAGAGTGCTCAGACTAGAAATATTACATAAATATAGTACTATCCCAGTCCTTTGCCCTCAGAAGATATCTGTCCACAAACATGGTGCCTGGAGAGGTATAGCTCTCCCTCCCTAAACTTCCTTCAAGAAACCATGTTGAAGAGTATTGCAGATTGGTAGTCATGGGAAAAGTTTATGAAAAATGTAACTAGTTAAAGTTAAAAGTTAGCAGCCTTTAAAATTAACTTGAGTTAAGTTAAAAGTTAAATATTTTCACTTTCAACTAGTTAAAAGTTAAAAAGAGAGTAACTAGTTAAAAGTTAAGTTGATTCGTGAGAAATGCGTGAAACTTGGTGAATTGCCTCTTAACATCATTTTTCATTTTCAAATGCAACGAGTGGGTTTCTTTTCCATAAGCCCACAGAACCCCACTAATTTACTCGGAACTCACCCTGCGTGACCTGAAAACAATATACTTGTCATACAGTTTTCAGAATAACAGTTTATTAATACCTATGTAACATTAGATCCTTCTCACCCTCTCCATGTGAAGTACTTTGTAAAAGTCAACCCATCATATAGGTATAACAGAATAACAGAAAGGAGATATTCATAGCCAGGTGACAAATGAAAGCTGTTTCCACAGAAAACCTCTGTTGTTACAACTTTTATTGCTCAAAAGATAACAAAAGGGTATGAAATACATTTGAATTAGAAATAATGAAAGTGTCTGAAAATCAAAATTAGACTGAAATGGTAAGATTAATTTAAATGAGAAAAAGAATGTTCAGTTGGATAGCAGAAGCTGTTTAAAGATGCTTATTGAACTTCAGCAAAAGCTACATTTCAAAATTTACATCTCATAATTTTCTTCTTCTGTCTCGCAAAACTAAGCCCCCACTACTGAACAATCGCTCTACATGGGCAGATGAGGGAATGCTTGTGTTATAATGGATGAATAGCTTTTTCATAGTAGGTGACATCTCAGATAAGTTTCTCACAGACGAGAAGTAATGCTCAACTGCTTGGGCCCTGGGCTGCTGGTTCTGATCTTCATTATAATTTAAAAAAATCATCATCTGCTTCACCCTCACTACTTGCTCCCACTCTTACTGGGATCAATGTCTCTGCTTGCTTGTTCCCGAAGCATAAATTTAAAAGCAATGCCAAAAATCATGAGAGTTTACAATACAGGTTTCCTTCACCAACCACTGGGATTAGGTTTTTGAAAGTTCCTGTGGCTGGCAAAATCGTGGTTGGCAAGACAAAAGGCTTATGGGAAAAATGGCAGGGGACAGGCTGATGTGAGGCCACAGAAAACCATGGTTACTCAAAACTGTATACCGTGGTAGCCAAAATGGTATATAAAATATTAAGTGTGGATACTCAAAACTATGATTGGCAAAACTGTGGTTGGTTAGGCACATCTGTACTGGGTTTAGTGAGACATTTTTTTCTAGTGATTCTTGTACCCGCGCTGTGGGTAGATAGGTTAATGTATCTTGCATTGGTTCCAGAAGCATGAGTTCAAACTGACCCAGCTGAGTCAGCTGACTTAGGCTGGGGCACCAATGGTAATCCATCAGGTAAAACTATAGCCACATCACTTCTGTGGTGCTGTTTGTTACAGAAACTGGTGTGCTTTAACTGCACCAGCCCAATGAGCTGGTAGGTTCAGGTGAAATTTTGAATTTGTCTCCCAGTGCATACATACACATCCATGCAAGAACCTTGATTCCTGTTTTCAACAATGAAGCCTCTAAAGTGAATGGTAGTAAGACTCATCCACTTAGTCTGTTTCTGTACTTTCTTACATTACATGAAGCACAGCAGTCAGGAACAACACAGTGAAACTTGTGAAAATTCAGTTATACATGTTTTCAAGGCTGTAATTAATTTTTCAGCAAGGCTCCCACCTCCCAAACTGTTCTTTCTTTTACCCCCTCTGAATTATTCTTTTTTAATTTTTTTTAATTCTGTTATCATTCTCTGCTTTCCCTTCATTTGTTCTGAACATCTAGCTCTATGCAATGTTTGTATTAGTGCTGATTTCTTTTTCTTTTCCGTGTATTGAATCTGACCTATTGTCCTTCTGTAGGCAGTTCATGAACATTCCTGTGAGTGCCCCTGCTGTGTCTCTGACTGTCCTTTTGTTGTCTTATTTCACTAGTTCTGTCTTATTTAAAAGCAATTTGTAGCATGATTTGCTGTAATTCCTTAATGTATA